TGAAAAATACTTTTTTTATGTATAAAAAATTGGAAAATTGATCAGTATACAGAAAAAATATACCATATACCTAAAAACAAGCGTTTCTGAAATATTTAAATTATTTTTAAGATAATAAGTTAAAATATTTTGTCTTTCTGTCTAAATACGGCATTTTTACTTACTTAAAAAAATATTTGATGATAACGGTTCAAATGCGAATATTTCAGAAACGGTTGAATTTAGGTATATGGTATGAATTATGCTTAGAATTTTACAAGGAATCGAATTTTTATATATATATATAATTTATGGTTATAGGTTATGAACGCAAAAATCTAAGCTGTTAAATTTAAGTGTCTACATAAACAATAATTTAGTGAAAGCAGATTTTCTACTAAAATGTGAATTGTCAGTTTACGAAAACAAATAAGTGAAGAACCAGGACTTTTGTTTTAGTGAAAGTGAAAGGACCTAACCTTAAAAATGGGCACCTGCTCAAAGTGTTCAAAATCCTTTAAGGAACTTTATGTGTGCGAGGACTGTAAGTCTGCACATTGTACAACATGTAGTGAACTTACGGCCACAGAGCAGAGAGTTATGGAACTTAAGAAGAAAACATTGATTTTTCGATGTGGAGACTGTAGTTTCACTACTATTGATTTAAATCTTTGCAAAGTTCAAATAGAACATCTTAAAAAAGAAATATTGTTATTAAAAGATCAAATATTGGATAAAACTACAATCATAAATGATAAAATGAAAATAATAACATTGCAAGAAGAAAAGTTAGTAAATAAACAACAAGAACACAATAACCAAAAAACAATAACAAAGAAAAAAGAAAAATCATCAAGTCAATCACATCAAGATCCACTAATAAATGAAAATAGAGAAATACAACCCAATGCAGAAAAACTGTATAGCACAGCCACCAAATCTTCATATAAAGATATAATTGATGCACAAAAAACAAAAATGAATGAATTAATAAATATAAACAAAGACACTCACAAAGAGAAAAAACTGGCTCAAAAAACATCTGAACTAAAGAAGATCAGCTATGGATCAAATAAGTCAGGAAATAAATTTCAAGGTACACCCAAAAAAGTTTGGCTTTTTATATCAAGGGTCAACAAAGACGTGGTAAAGGAGGACATAACTCAGTTTCTTAATGATAAAGACAACTTAAAAGAAAGAGAGTTTATCATAGAGGAAGTTGAGGTCAATAGGAAAACTACAAAATGTTTTAAAATTGGCGCCGATTATGATCTGTTAGAGGAAATATATAAACCGGACTTTTGGCCAAGTGGTATAGGCTATAGCAGATACTATTTTTCTAGAGAGGACCAAAATAAAGGTAACAATACTACACAAACAAATTTTCAATCTGCACAAACATCAAAAACAAACACTTAAACACAAAAAATAAAACTACATTAGACACTATTTATGTATTTCATCAAAATATACAAAACTTAAAAACGAAAACACTAGACATAAATGTTCTTTTCAACAACTTAAATAAATTTCCTGAGATACTGTGCTTAACTGAACACTGGTGCACAAGGGAAGAACAAAATTATGTAACAATACAAAACTATAAATTAATCTCCAGCTTCTGCAGAACAACACAAATTCGTGGAGGATCTAATATTTATGTTAAAAATAACTCTGAGTACCAGAATGGACCAGAACTTGACAAAATAAATGAAGAAGGTATTATGGAGTGTTCAAGTGTATTTAGCAAAAATAAAAAAGTGACTATAATATGCATTTATAGACCATGTTCTGGTTCAAAAGAGGTTTTTTTTCAAAAACTAGAAAAGCTTCTCATTAATCTAACAAAATGGTTTAAAAACTACAAAATTGCCATTTGCGGGGACTTTAATTTAAATCTATTTGACAATAATAAAAATACTAAATTATTTATAGATTTATTGAAATCTTATAATTTTTACCAAACTATATTTAAAGCAACAAGAGAGTATAAGGGATCATCTACATTGATTGATAACATTTTTGTTAATTTTGAGAATTTTGTCCAAGGTGAAGTCATTGTATCGGCGCTCTCTGATCACCATGCTCAGCTACTGGAAATTAAAATTCCTGAAAATAAAAAAAACAATCAAAATCAATACAAAAGACTTTTTACAAGCAGAAAAATGTTATACTTTAAGGAAGAATTGAAATTGCAAAACTGGTCACAAGTTTATAATTGTGATGATTTAAATACTGCTTATGGCTTATTTAATAACATAGTGTCACTGACAATTAATAAAATATTTCCTCAAAAAGTTATAAAAGAAAATAATAAAAAATGGATTACCAAAGGAATTTTGATATCAACTAAGAACAAAAGAAAACTTTATATGCAAAAAATAAATGGTAAAATAGGTCTTGAATTTTATAAAAAATATTGTAAAGTCTTAAAAAAAGTAATTCATGCAGCCAAGCTTAGATCTGATGAAAAATATATTGAAATGTCATCAAATAAAGGAAAAGCTATGTGGAACATTATAAAAAATTACTCAACTGCAAATAAAACTAAAAACCAAGAATCTCTAATAGAATGTTTTAAAGAGAAAAATATTAATGATCCAACCTCAACATTAAATGAAATAAATAATTTTTTCATCCATCAATGTGGTCATGAAACTGTTAATAACTTATTAAGACTAAAAACTACAAATTATTCAATATTTTTAAAACCTACCAACTATACTGAAGTCTATAATTTGATAATGGATCTTAAGAATACTACTGCAGCTGGCTTTGACAACATAACGGTAAAAATACTTAAAAATTCAGCCTTAGAACTGCTACCACCATTAACTCATTTAATAAATATATCTTTAAATTCTGGAATTTTTCCAGATTTATTAAAAACTGCAGAAGTATTGCCAATTTATAAAAAAGGAGACAAAACCAATATTGGAAACTACAGACCAATAGCACTTTTATCAAACATAAGTAAAGTCTTTGAAAAAATTATATATCATAGACTAATATCATATTTTGAACAAAAGCAAATACTATCTAAAACGCAAAACGGATTCAGACAGGGTAAATCAACTATTAGAGCCATATTTCAAAGTATGACATTATTATTAGATGCACTCAATAATTCCGAAAAAACATCACTTGTATTCATTGACTTATCAAAGGCTTTTGATAGTGTGTGTCATAAAACACTACTACAGAAACTGGAATGCTATGGAGTAAGAGGAATAGCCCTAAAACTGATCTCAAGCTATCTTAATAACCGAAAACAATGTGTAATAGGAAAATCAGCTGAAGGCTTAAAATTAAAATCCGATTTCAAAATAATTGATAAGGGTGTACCTCAAGGTTCAATCTTAGGCCCCCTATTATACATTATATATGCAAACGACTTACCTCAGTACATCAATGTTCCTGTTGTATCCTATGCGGATGATACCACACTTATTATAAAGGAAAGCTCAATGGAAAATCTTCAAAATAAAATACTAAGCTCACTTGATGACATGGAAAACTGGTCCACCAACAATAGCCTAAAATTAAATGTAAACAAAACACAAATAATTAATTTTTCTTTTTGGAAAAACTACGAAAAGTTAACACTTACCAGAAATAATAGCATCCTATCAACACAGGAGTCTGCCAAATTCCTAGGAGTATATATTGATCATAGGCTTGACTGGTCAGTACATATAAATAACCTAGCAAAGTCCTTGGCCAAAGATATCTACGGACTAAGCGTAATTTCAAAACATGTAAACAAAAAAGCTGCAATTACGATGTATAATGCATATGTAGAGTCTAAGCTTAGATATGGAATAATTTTCTGGTACAATTCGACTGATCTATACAGAATTGAAGTTCTTCAAAAAAGATGCTTAAGAAATATACTCAGTCTAAGTCAAATGACATCTTGCAAGCCTTATTTTTTAAACAATAATATCCTGACACTTGCTGGCCTATACATATATGAAGCAGTAATGTTCATTAAAAAAAATGAGGACTTGTTTAACAGTCAAGATCATATTTATAGTACAAGATACAAGCAAAACCTAACAACAGATTTAATACGATTTTCCTATCTACAAAAAAATGTTTGCTATAAAATAGTAAAAATATATAACCACCTACCTGCTATCGTAAGAGAACTTCCACTCAAAAAATTAAAGAATCGTCTGAGACTTGTATTGTCGAAGAAATGTTATTATCACACTGAAGAATTCATGAATGACCGACAAATTCAATCTTTTGATTTATGGAATGTCAAGGCCGACCCAAACAAACAATAACACATGTTTTTGTTTAATACAATTTCTTTATTGTTTTTTTTGTTGTTATGTATATTTACACTTTATTTTATGAATGATTTTGTATTAATTAATTTCTCTTTTTTTTTGACATGTTCTACACTATTGTATTATGGTATTTTTTGAACAAATAAACGGTATTATTATTATTATTATTATATATATGTACCTACATAACCATACCTTTAAATATTTTGGGACACTTAAAATAAAAAAGTAAACCAGGGCGTCATTATTTTTTTTTCTGTCTTTTGGCTGGAATAAGCTTCTCAATCTCCTTTATTTTAGATTCAATTTCTTCAATACTTTTTTTGGATCTGGTTTGCCCCTCTAATCCCATGTTAATTTTAGAATGGGCTGCAAGTCCAAAATCCCTTACATTTTTCTTGGAATATAGGCCATCTGAAATCATTTTATATATAGTTACACCACTATTATTTACAAAACAGATTATTAAGGCTACCTTGCAATAATTTATTTCCCTCTGTGATTAAATCCTCAGAAATACTTAATTTAATTTTTTCTTCTTCCAGTTTATTATTCAATGTTGTAAGTTTAGTCACTCTTTCTTTAAACTTTTTCTCTCTTTTATCTCTTTCCATCCGTTCGCGTTCCTGTTCCATTTGCTTAGATGCCAATTCTGGTATTCACTTCGCGAACATTCTACTAGATCAAACAGTCTTTGGTTTATGGGAAAGTTTTCGATAGTATTCAGATATACACTGTCTCAGTGTTTTCTTTTAAAGATAATTTATTTTCAAGAATAAATTTGTTAAAGCTAAACCCACGTTCAGCGGTTGCATTGCTGTGGCTAAGACTTAAAAATGTAAGCGCTACACTGCTCAGTAAAAAATACTTATTTGCTCCAACCAGGTCCTTCTTTTGTTTCATTTCATTCCAAAACACATCTAGTCGTGAGTGATTATATTCAGTTGTGTCGTGTTGAAAAGCTCTGAATTCCATTTTTACTTGCTCTATAAATTTATAAACATCGCGGTTTGGTAGTCCAAAAACAGAATGGAAATTTGGTAAAACTTCAGTTAACAATTTTGCTAAGGCTTCAATAGAGGCGACAGATTCTTTTTCTAATTTAAACTTAGGATGTAAGTGAGTAAGTTGCTTCAACGTTTTTGACTCCCAGGGTAGTTTCTCCTGTAAATATTTTGCAATTTTTACAAGACAAAGTTTAAACTCGATTCTTAAAATCTTAATAGAACTTAAGTAATTGCCTTCCATCTTTGCTAGAAATTGTTTTGTTCTAAAATCTAGATCAATATCAAATGCGGACTTTTGATTATTGGAATTTTCTACATTGACCTGTCCTAAAGTGGAATTATCTAATTTTTCCTTTTTAACAAATTTATCCATAATTTTCAAAAATAATTCATTAATACTTGTATGAAGAGCATAGACCAGAGGTTCTTCTCCTTGAAATTTTTGTTCAAATGCTTCCATTAAATCGCCTATATAAATCGCAAAACTTAAGTAGGCTTCAGTTTTTTGATCTGTTAATTTCAGTTTAATTCTTTTGTAGCGATCTGTAGAGCCCACTTCTCGTGCAAAATTTTTTTGATCAGGAATAAATTTTAGAAAATATTCTTTTAGATTAGCAAATTGTTCTATAATTCGGCTTAGAACCTTTTTTAGGCTTAGCCATCTTGTATTTACGTGTTTCAGCATAAATTGTGATTCTATTTCAGAATGCAAAGTGGCAAACTTGTAATCCTCTCTACGCGAGCTACTTAATTTAAAAAAAAAATGTAGGTCCTGACAAAATTCGTCATATTCGAAGTTAATTTGCTTTAAACCCTTCATATATGCTGTGTGAACTTGATGTAAGGCACAAGTTCCAATATTTATTATAGTAGAGATACAAAGAGAGTTCTGGACCGGAAGTGACCCAGACGCTACGTGACGTAGGCGGTTCTCGATGGTGGCGCCCCCCTGGTGGGTGGTGGGGGGGTGATCATATTAGCTATTGGTGGGCAGGCATTTGGGCAACGCCCTCAACTGATAAGCGTAAGTGAGCCTATTGGTGGGTTGTTGGCGGATGGCGGCTGGCGGATGGCGGCCATGTTTGATAGATATTAGCTATTGGTGTTGTGGTTTAAAGTGGGCGGGGCTTAGGTGTTTAGTTGGCATTACTGGAGATGCAAAAGATAAGCGATATGCATATTGGTTGTTTGTGGTTAGCGTATTAGTTTGGTATTACTGGAGATGTAAAAGATAAGCGATATGCATTTGCTGCAGTGGTTTGATATCCGGGGGAGATAAGGATTTATTATTATTTTGTTGTAAATTTTATTTTTGACGCCATTTTGAATTGCTGACGTCATCCGACTTGTTGTTCGACAAGTTTCGGGGGTTTTAATGCGGTGTGGTATCAGTTATTTGGAGATAAGGATTATTTTGTTGTAAATTTTTATTTTTGGTACCATTTTGGCTGACGTCACCCCAACTTGTCCTGACAAGTCTATTTATTGTCCAGAAATCTTTTTCGGTGATCAGTCTTAATATTGTTTGCAGTATTGATAATGGGTTTTAAATCGTTATTAATATTTCTGCTAAGTATAAGTTTGGTAAAATCAAATAATTTAACTGATAAAGATGTTGTAATAAAACATCTCGAAACATTTGGCTACCTTAATAGTTCAGAGTTTTCGTTGACTAGTTATGAAGAAGCTTTAATATTATTTCAGGAGTGATATAATTTAAACATAAGTGGTGAAATAACGAAAGACCTTTTAGAATTTATAAAAACACGTTGTTGCTCTATACCAGATGAAAATATTTATGAATTGACGCAAAACCCACCTAAATGGAATAAACATAATATATATTGGTATGCATATAATAGAGAGATAAAAAGAGTTGCTACTAGAGCTTTCAATGAGTGGGAAAAATTTGTAAATCTAAAGTTTATTTTTTCGTTTAGAAATCCTGACATTCTAATTTCATTTGGGAAAAATAACCATAGTAATTCAGTTCGATGCATGAAGGGTTATTGTATTGTACCATTTGATGGAAAGGGTACTGTAGTTGGTCACGCATACCACCCAAGTCATATTAATTCCTGTACGGAAATTCATTTAGATTCAGATGAAAATTGGTATTTTGGTTTCGATGTACCTGAAGATAATGATAAAACAAGTCTATATACCGCATTGCTTCATGAAATTGGACATACTTTGGGGTTGAGTCATTCACCAGATAATAATGCACTAATGTACGCATATTTTTCACCAAATATAACAACCCTATCCGATGAAGATAAAAAAAATATACAAAATTTATATGGATTACCCCCAACTACTCCAAAAATAGTAACATCAACAACCCCAAAAACTACTCCAAAAATATTAACAACAACAAAAACAATCCCAACTACAAGGAAACTTACAGATAAACCAAGAACAACAAAAACAATTTTAACAACAAGCAGACCTAAAATAACGGGTTCTACACAAAAACCTACACACACATCACCAAATTTAACTGATTTATGTCAAATCGAGTATCCACAACAAATGTTAGTCACAAATAATAATCATCTGTATGTTTTTAACAATGGGTTAGCGTGGATTTTAAATATAGGAGAGCCCTCGAGCATAAATCTTAAAAAGCCTAAAAAAATTAGTGATTATATTAAATATAATGATTTTTTACATATATACCAAACCTAGTGGTAGTGTGGTAATAATAGATAATTTAAAACGTGTTAGTACGTTTTCTTTTCCTAGTCTTGCATGTGAAACATTTAATCAAACAATAGACAAATTTAATATTGCTCGAAGTAGCAACATAAATGCCATTTTTAACTTAAACAGAGGTAGAACTTATATTATTCATGATGATTATTGGGTTACTGAAATTGATGAATGTAGTTTAAATGCAGTCAATCGGGGGAGTATAAAACAGTTTTTCCCTGGAATCCCTCCAGATATATCTTCAGCATTTCGCTATACAAATGGTAACATTTATTTTTTTAAAAAAAATTTATTTTATGAATATAACGAATTTTCTGGTAAATTAATAAGAGCAGGAGTTTTTGATTGGAGTTTATTTGGAATAAATTGTCCGAATGAAACAATTTTAAATCAATTAAAAAATATATTAACATCCCTTTCAACATACTTTTATTAATAATTATAAAAGGTTAACTTTATTAAAAAAAAAATCATTTCAATGTTGACTTTTAAAGGTGGCGGTTTATTAAATTCTGCAATTAACAACCTACCCTTTGAGCTTCACGTGCCTTCTTATCAATTTTGCGGACCAGGTACTAAATTAGATAAGAGAATTCAAAGGGGTGATACTGGTATAAACCCCTTAGACGCTGCATGTAAAGATCACGATATTGCTTATTCAAAAAATAAAAATTTGGAGGATAGACATAAAGCGGATTGGATTTTGGAAAATAAAGCTTGGGAAAGGGTGAAATCTAAAAACTCTAAATTAGGTGAGAAAGCAGCAGCTTGGTTAGTAACAACGGGAATGAAGGTTAAAAGAAAACTTGGAATGGGCGTTCGAAAAACTCGAAAACCAATCTCATTTAAACGTGGGGTGGTTGATAAAATTAAAAAACATGTTCAAGATTTAGATATATCCAATCAAAATTCACTTAAAAAATCTACTGTAACGGCACTTAAAGCAGCTCGGGTGATTATAAAGAAAGCCGGGGGTCGTAAAAATATTAAGGTGCCTAGAATAATTCCATTTGAATCCGACAAACAAGGAGGATTTTTACCCCTTTTACCACTATTCGCAGCCTTAGGGGCCATAGGATCATTGGCTGGAGGCGCAAGCGCTGTAGCCAAAACGGTGATAGACACAAAAAATGCTAAAAAGAAACTTGAAGAATTAGGTCGACATAATAGGGCTATGGAGGAAATTGGAAAAAAAGGTTCGGGATTATATTTAAAAAGGAATGTCAAGGGAGGATATGGTCTTTTTTTAAAACAAAAAAACTACCAATAAAGCTACCCAATAGAGCCCTATATGATTCTGAATTGGTAAAATATGCACAAAAGCTTAAAATACCCTATTTTAGAGGGGTTTTTATGCGAGACGCTTTACCAAAAATAAAAAATAAAAATGAATCTGCAATCCTAAATTTAGACATTTCGAAAAATTTGGGTACACATTGGGTAGCTTATACTAAAAGAAACAATTCTGTTATTTATTTTGATAGTTTTGGTGGTCTTAAACCGCCAAAAGAATTAGTAAATTATTTAGGAAAAAATGTTAAAATTAATTATAATAATGATTGTTTTCAAAACTTTAAACAAATTAATTGTGGCCATTTATGTTTGTGGTTTCTTTATAAAAATAAATGAGATAAGAAAATATGATTAGTCTATTATTAACCGTTGTTTAAAGATAATGTCCCAGCTATTTACATTAAAAAGTAATAATTATGTTTTAAGTATAGATTTTACAAATCCAATACAACTTAATCCAGATTTTGACTACGGTATAGCATTGATAGGGTTTTATTCCTATAACAGCATCCCTAATATTGAAGAAGGTGAAAATACATTTTATTATAAAGAAGCGAGTGTGGATAAGAAAATAATAATACCAACTGGTACTTATGAAATATTAGATATAGAAACTTACCTAAGACAACAAATTATTCCTGGCACCGTTAAAAAGGAAGATTATGATAAATATTTTTCACTTAAACCAAATAATAATACTTTAAAGTGTGAAATTCAAAGCAATACGTTGGAAATAGATTTTACAAAGGCTGATGGTATAGGAAAAATATTAGGATTTTCTAAGCGTACTTTAACGTCGGGTAAAAAACACGAATCAGATCTCCCAGTTAATATAATAAAAGTTCGAACCATTCACATCGATTGTAATATATCTACAGGTGCTTATTATAATTATCTACCAACACATACAATTTACGAATTTTCAGTAGACGTTGATCCAGGCTATACAATCAACGAAATTCCCCGAAACCTTATATATTTACCAATAATAAATAAACAAGAAATATTTAATATTACTTTGGTAATTTTAAACCAAGATTTTAAGCCAGTTAATTTTCGTGGAGAGGAAGTTATAGTTCGATTGGAATTAAAAAAATTATCATAATGGGACTAACATTCAATAATTATTATAAAAATCCTAGCACAAACAATTTGAAATCAGTTGACAGCAAACGCTTGCCTAGTTCAAACAGCTTAACTAATTCAAATAGACTTTTTCTACAATCATTAGGATATAATGTCATCATTAGACCAAATCTTCGACATCTATCGAAAACCACAGTTTAGTGAAACAATTCAAAAGGTTGACTACAGAACTTATTACCCCTATGTTAAATCTTTTAATAATAGTGATGTTATAGAAATTTCAATAAATCAAAGAGATTCCTGGCTGCTTATGCACGATGCAGCTCTATTAATAGATGGTAAATTGGAAATAACTAAAGGGGATGGCGAGGCAGCCTTAATAAATAATTTTGGAGCTTTTTTGTTTGACCGAATTTCTTATGAAATAAATGGAAAAGAAATTGATGGTATTCGCGACCCAGGTATTGTGAGCACAATTAAGGTCTATCTTAATTACAGTAGCGATGATTCAAACCATTTAGGCATTGCAGGGTGGAATTACCCAGCTCAACCAATAGTCTCAACAATAGCCAAAATTTCAACTTTTAATATACGTATACCATTACATCATTTATTTGGTATATTTAATGATTATCAGCTGGCTCAATTTGGTAAACAAACTATACGTCTTGTAAGAGCTCG